CATGTTCTCACTCATAGGTGGGAACTGAACAGTGAGATCACTTGGACTCGGGAAGGGGAACATCACACATGGGGGCCTATTATGGGGAGGGGAGAGGGGTGAGGGATAGCATTGGGAGTTATACCTGATGTAAATGACGAGTTGATGGGCGCTGATGAGTTGATGGGTGCAGCACGCCAACATGGCATGAGTATACATATGTAACAAACCTGCATGTTGTGCACATGTACCCTAGAACTTAAAGTATAATAATAAAAATAAAATAAAATAAAATAAAGAAAATGTGGCACATATACACCATGGAATACTATGCAGCCACAAAAAAGGATGAGTTCATGTCCTTTGCAGGGACGTGGATGAAGCTGGAAACCATCATTCTCAGCAAACTATCACAAGGACAGAAAACCAAACACCGCACATTCTCACTCATAGGTGGGAATTGAACAAAGAACATTTGGACACAGTGTGGGGAACATCACACACCAGGGCCTATCACGGGGTGGGGGACTCGGGAGGGATAGCATTAGGAGAAATACCTAATGTAAATGATGAGTTGATGGGTGCAGCAAACCAACATGGCACATGTATACATATGTATCAAATCTGCATATTGTGTGCATGTACCATAGAACTTAAAGTATAATTTTTAAAAAATTCACATATCCTTTTAATAAGATTTGACTTCCAAGTTAAATAATGTACTTATGAAAACAAAACAAATCAAAAGTAAACTATATAAAATTTTTATTTAGTTTTTTAAGTTTTTATTTAATTTTTTAAATTTTTATTTAGCTTTTTTTTTTTTTACTCTAAATGATGTTTCTGAAGTTCCAACCTCCACAGATTCCTAGAACATGAATAGAATTCAGCCAAACTCTTTCGTAAGGCATAACATGGGAGATATTTCTCCCAGTTCCCTATAAGTTACTCACTTTCCATCTGAGATGTTGACAGCCTATACGTCACTTTCCATCTGAGATGTTGACAGCCTATTCATAACACCATCAGCATTTTGATCACAACCATTGAGCCAGTCTCTATAAAGTTCGAAGCATTTTCTAATCTTCCTGTTGTGAACCCCCAAAATCTGACACAGGTCTCAGTTAACTTAGAAAGCTTATTTTGCCAAGGTTGAGGAGGCACATCTGTGACACAGCCTCAGGAGATCCTGATGACATGTGTCTGAGGTTGTCGGGGTACAGCTTGGTTTTACACATTTTAGGGAGACATCAGACATCGATCATCATGTGTAAGATGCACGTCAGTTCAGTTTGAAAACGTGGGGCAGCTCCAGGTGAAGGCAGGACAACCTGAAGCGGGGACGGGGCTTCCAGTCTTAGATAGATAAGAGACACACTGTTGCATTATTTTGAGTTTCTGATGAGCCTCTCCAAAGGAGGCAATCAGTATGCATTTATCTCAGTGAGCACAGGGGAGACTTTCAATAGAATGGGAGGCAGGTTTGCTCTAAGCAGTTCCCAGCTTGGGTGGGGTCCCAAGATCTATTTTTCTTTCACACTGTCTTCTCCTGAGCCCCCCAAACCCTTCCAACCTCTGCCCATGACTGAGTTTCACAGCTGCTTTTGTACTATCAGGTATCTTTTAGCAAAATACTTTATTTCTCAGCACCAGTGATCTGTGTTTGGACATTCTTGCATTGCTACAAAGAAACACTCGAGGTTGGGAAATTTACAAATAAAAGAGGTTGAACTGGCTTATGGTTCTTCAGGCTGTACAAGAGTCATGATGCCTGCATTTGCTTGGCTTCTGGGGATACCTCAAGGAAATTTTACTTGGTGGAACACAAGCGGGAGCAGACATCTCTCATGGGAGAGTGGGAGCAAGAAAGAGAGTAAGCGGGGAGGTTCCACACATCTAGACAATCAGATCTTGCAAGAACTCACTCACTGTCATGAGGACAGCACCAAGCCTCGCGGAATCCTCTCTGATGACTCAACTACCTCCCACCAGCTGCCTCATCCAACACTGGGGATTACGTTTCAACAGGAGATTTAGAGGACGCACATCCACACTATATCGGGAGGTGTGTGCCTTGCAACCGGTAGGGGATGTCACAGGACTGCCCTATGGTCCCTACACAGCTGCTTAGTAAGAACCATTCACTTCAAGGAACCTGTGCCCTGTGCTCAATGATAGGGACTCAGGAGTTGTGTCCTCTCTGGCCTGGCAGAGTCTCCTAAGCAGAGACCTGTGTACAGTCTCAGCAGGTGCTTCCTCCCAGGGCCCTCCCAAGGGGGAACCAAACCTTCCTCCTCCTCAGGCTGCAGTGTGAGCTGAGCTCCAGCCCCAGGGCTCAGGGAGGGGCTGGGCAGTCCTTGGAAGGAAACACATTTGCATGAGCAGCCCCTCCTCTGGCAGAGGGTGGGAAGAAAAGGAGACCTGGGGCAGCCCAGGCCCACTGGTAGGGCTCAGGGGCTCTGTCCACCATGGCCTGGACTCTTCTCCTTCTCATGCTCCTCTCTCACTGCACAGGTAGGGAAAGTCCTTATAAACCGAGGCTCAGTGTCCAGCCTACACCATCCCCTGTGGCTCAGACCTACGAGAAACTTTACCCTGGGAACTGCCTTATTACCCATGATGTCTGTGTTTTCAGGTTCCCTCTCCCAGCCTGTGCTGACTCAGCCATCTTCCCATTCCGCATCTCCTGGAGCGCCAGCCAGACTCACCTGCACGCTGAGCAGTGGCTTCAGTGTTGGTGACTTCTGGATAGAGTGGTACCAACAAAAGCCAGGGAGCCCTCCCCGGTATCTGCTGTACTACCACTCAGACTCAGATAAGCACCAAGGCTCTGGAGTTCCCAGCCGCTTCTCTGGATCCAATGATGCATCAGCCAATGCAGGGATTCTGCATATCTCTGGGCTCCAGCCTGAGGACGAGGCTGACTATTACTGTTGTACATGGCATGGCAACTCTAAGACTCACACAGTGCTCCAGACCCATGAGGAAGTCAGACAAAAACCTCCCCTCTACTCTCCTGGCCTGGTGAAGTCACCCCTGCTGGTGACTCTGACCAAATCTAACTCAGGGGGTGGCATCTGTTGTCACACCAGCAGCACTGGAGCTCCCACTGACAAGCAGGTCTAACGAAGTCCTACCTTGCTCACATTTCACAGGCAGACATCCCTTGCTCAGGGGTAAAATCTCTCAGTGTTGACATAGAAGAAGGCAAGAGGGGTGGGTTGGGGTTCATCTCAGCTCAGAGTCTAGAAGTGACTCAGAGATGCTGCTGGTCTGAGAGTTTTAATATGAGCCTTGGGATACAATACAGGGATGCAGAAGGGAATTGTATTCTCCATATCAGTAATGAACCATCAGTAATTGAAAAGTCAATACATTGAAAATAGCATAAAACATGAACTACTTTAGGATAAGTATGACAAAAATTGTTGTTTTACACACTAGAAGTCATAAAATATTGCTTAGATGCAAGTCTTAAAGAAGACCTGAGTAAATGCACAGATAATCCTTTTTTTTTTTTTTTGAGATGGAGTCTCGCTGTCACCCAGGCTGGAATGCAGTGGCATGATCTTGGTTCACTGCAACCTCCACCTCCTGGGTTCCAGTGATTCTCCTGCCTCAGCATTCCGAGTAGCTGGGATTACAGGCATGTGCCACCACGTCTGGCTAATTTTGTATTTTTAGTAGACATGGGGTTTCTCCATGTTGGTCAGGCTGGTCTCGAACACCTGACCTCAGGTGATCTGCCCACCTCGGCCTCCCGAAGTGCTGGGATTACAGGCGTGAGCCAACATGCCCAGCTCAGATAACCTTTTTTTTTTTTTTTTTTTTTTTTGTGAGAAGGAGTCAGTCTGTTGCCCAGGCTGCAGTGCAGTGGCACGATCTGGGCTCACTGCAACCTCCCTCTCCCCAGTTGAAGGGATTCTCCTGCCTCAGCCTCCCGAGTAGCTGGGACTACAGGCATGTGCCACCATGCCCGGCTAATTTTTGTAATTTTTAGTAGAGACAGGGTTTCACCGTTTCTCAGTGTTCGGTCTTGATCTCCTGACCTCGTGATCCACCCTCCTCGGCCTCCCAAAGTGCTGGGATCACAGGCATGAGCCACTGCGCCCAGCTGTAAAGAGACTATTCTAACAAAACTGTCTATCACCTCCCTCCTTGCCTTAGCATGTTCCAGAGTGAGGACATATCTCTCCGACACAGGAGAATATTGGTGATCTCATCTTGGCAGGTTCTAAAACAGCTGAACACACTCAGCCTACAATTTGGAAGCCTAACTGAACTGAATGTATTTCTAGCTATTTAACTAAATGAGTTACATGTGCCACACAAGACCCTGTACCCAAATGCTTATAGCTACTCTAATCATGATTGTCAAAGCTTGAAAACAACCAACGTGTCCTTCAATAAGCAAATGGATCCACAAGCCTTGGTAACCCATAAAATGAAGTATTATTCTACAGTAAGAAGGAGGTACCGGGGCACAAAATAATATGCGGAAAGGTTACATGCATATTGCTAAATGACAGAAGCCGATCTGAAAAGATGGAAGTTTTGATGATGGTGGTGGTGGGGAGGGCAGGATCCTTGGGAACCAGTACCTGCCTGGAGTCCACATGACTCCCACATTTACCAGAGGGTGCTGTGGACTAAGCACCTGCTTAGGGCTCCTTAGCTAAGAGTCCCCGTTTTCTTGCGTCATGAAGGTGTTTCTGTGCCCTCTTTGGGGTCAAAGTCTTTCTTCTTCTATAGTTTTTCTTTTTCTCAGCTGTAGTTCAGACTGAGGTCAAAGGAGGGGGTTGCACAGCCTCCAGAAATGGGGAAGATTTGCATGGAGTCCTCCCACCCTGAGGATCAGTGTGATGGATCAGAGGTGATGGTGAGTTCAGCCCTGGCTATGGGCTCGGGCAGCAGAGCCTGGGGCATCTCCACTGTGGCCTGGGCTCCATGCATCTTCACTTTCCTCACTCATTGCACAGGTGGCTGCCTGCAGAGAATTCAAGGGAGGCTCCTGGATGTCCCCTGCGATGATGACCTCTCCCTCCTCTCAGCAGACCTGATCTGTCCTCACTGTTCTCTGTATTGTTCCCTTCTTGCAGGGTCTTGGTAGGAGGATGTGTTCACTCAGTCCCACTCTGTGTCAGGGTCTCTGGGACAAAAGAACACTACCTTTGGCACCTGGAGCAGTGGTAGCATCGAGAGCAAATATGTGCATTGGTGCATTGGTGCCATCAGCGCCTGGGCAATGCCCCCACCACCGTAATCTACAATGATAACAAAAGACCCTTCCATGTTACGCATTGGTTCTCTGGCTCCAGCAGCTCCATCCAACTCTGCCTCCCTGGCCATCTCTGGGCTGCAGCCTGAGGATGAGGTCAACTACTCCTGTCATTCTTGTGATCGCAGCGGTAATCACACAGTTCTCCAGACCCACGGGGAAGTGATACAGAAACTCCCCAGAGTGACCGCACCCCGGCTCAGCTCTCAGCCTGTCCCCATCAGCTCTCTCCAATTTCCTGCCTGAATGCTGGAGGTGGACTCGTCCACTCATGACTTCCCCAATTTTCTCTCCAAAAATACCAAATCTCTCCCTCTGTCTCTGTATGAGTTATCTTCTCATACCTTTACTACCAAGCCTCTCCTCTTGCCCAGGTACAAGTCAAACAACACGGCCTCCCTCACCACTTCTGGGCTGAAGCCTGGCGACTGTGCTGATTTTACTGTTTATCACAGGATGGGAACCTTGAGGACGGCATTGTGTGGGGGCTCATGGGGAAATGAGATACAAACCTGTGAGCTCCTCCAGCCTATTCACTGCACTGAGGAATCGTCCAGTGGACCTCTCAGAAGACATGGTGTGGGCTCCTTGTGGACACTACTGGACGTTCGAAGGGGCTCTTAACTAAAGGACCTTTTTAAACTAGGGAGTACTAACAATGCTCCACAAATTCATGGAAGACTGTTTAGAATTACTCATTCAACTAATATTGACATGCAGCCCAATTCAAAAGTATTTTAGGATCTGTTTAATGATAAACATTACACAGATTGTTAATAGTAAATATCATAAAGAACAGAGAGTCTAGATATGTTTACTTAACCTCTGATTTCATTTCATAGAGAAACTGATAAAAAGAAGGATGCCTGGAGTAGCTAAAAGATGGTTCGCTTATTCATCTTTTTTGCTAACAATCTTTCAATTCCACGTAGTGATCAGTTAAGGGGACTGTGCACCATTACAGTGTGCATTGACCCCTTGCTGTCATTTCTAGCACAGGAACAGCAACGCCGCAACACAACTTCCTTCTGTGGTTTTCCAAAGGCCAACTTTCTCAATGCTGCCTCTAGAGCTCCATCCCCTCCTGTTTCTGCCACTCACCATAATCAGGTGTGTGAGAAGAATTAAAGTCTGTCATGGGGACACCTATGGAGTTTTCTCCCTAGACAGGGTTTGTGAAGGGAAAGCTTTAGGTCACAGATGCCTGACCTTAGAGGCCTAATAAGAGATCTAATATGATATCTTTAGTATTAATGGAGGTGAGCTATAAGGAGGAATGATGATAGAATATGCCAGGTGTTGGTAATAGCATTTGCCAAGAACAGGTACAAAACAGCTGCTCATTTAACTAATTAATATGACTTGTGTTTGGCTTGGGTATGGCAGAATCTCAATGGGGACAGGATCAGGGGAAGTGATTCTAGATGTGTCCAGATGAGAGAAAGGTGTCACGGAAACAGATCACGAAGAGAACAGATGCTGAGAAGTGTGCACATGATCACAGAGGCCACATGGAGTCACTGAATTATCCTTAGCTGGTATTTATGAGCTCTTCAAGTGCAGAATGGAGGATGGATTGCAAGGTAAACTGAGGCAACACCAGAGACAGGCAGACTACTTACGTTTCAGAGGAAATAATTCAGGATGAGATGAAGGTGTCTTTTTATAGATTCGTAAGTGAAAAAAAGTAAAAGGAGCAATTTTAGATATAAAATGAAAAAATAATTGGTAAAACAAATGAATGAGATTGAGACGCTATTGGGGGTCCAAAGGAAATAAACATCTAAGATGAGCACCACATGTCCAGTTGGGGCTTTGCAAGGATTCTTATCCACCATCTAAAGGATGGGCCCTGGGGTCATAGATTTATGACAAAATATATGCCACTTACGTTTGTGATTTCCTCAGCATTCCGCATTGGTTCTGTGCTGATTTTTACTATTTAGCACAGGACGGGAAACTTGTGGACTGCATTGTGTGGGAGCCCATAGGGAAACAAGATACAAACCTGTGAGCTTCCTCCAACCTATTCAGTGTACTGAGAAACGGTCCAATGGACCCGTAGGAAGACATGGTGTGGGCTCCTTGTGGACACTATTGGATGTTGCAGAGGAAAAGTAATTTTGGAGAGTTCCTTCAGGGTAGAAGATGAAAAAAGGAATGTATAGTTTTTTTTTTTTAATTGTATGTCCGTTTGTGTTATATGGAGTCTTAAAATAACCATGCACTTATAAACTGTAGATAGCAAATTAGATATGTATATTGCACCTCAATGAAAATAAATTAAAACATAAAAAATAAAATAAGCATGTACTTGTGCTGCGAAGCTGGTTTTGAAAGGGCAGTCAGGATGGGCCAGGCCTCCTGAGTAGCTGGGACTACAGGCATCTACCACCACGCCTGGCTAATTTTTTGTATTTTTAGTAGAGACAGGGTTTCACTGTGTTAGCCAGGATGGTCTGGATCTCCTGACCTCATGATCTACCCACCTTGGCCTCCCAAATTGCTGTGATTACAGGTGTGAGCCACCGCACCTGGCCTACTGTTTTTAAAGATGAAGTCTTGCTCTTGTTGCCCAGGCTGGAGTGCAATGGCGTGATTTTGGCTCACTCCAACCTCTGCCTCCTGGGTTCAAGTGATTCTCTTGCCTCAGCCTCCTGAGTAGCTGGGATTACAGACACCTGTCACCACGCCCACCTAATTTTTGCATGTAGAGAAGGGGTTTCACCATGTTGGCCAGGCTGGTCTCAAAGTCCTGACCTCAGGTGATCCATCTGCCTCTGCCTCCCAAAGTGCTGGGATTACAGGCTTAAGCCACTGCACCTGGGCTACCTTTTACTTTTTTTTTTTCTTTTTTTGAGATAGAATCTTGCTGTGTCACCCAGACTGTAGTGCAGTGGCAAGATCTTGGCTCACTGCAAGCTCCACCTCTTGGGTTCACACCATTTTCCTGCCTCAGCCTCCCGAGTAGCTAGGACTACAGGTGCCCGCCACCACGCCGGGCTAATTTTTTGTATTTTTAGTAGAGACAGGGTTTCATCATGTGAGCCAGGATGGTCTCAATCTCCTGACCTCGTAATCCGACCGCCTTGGCCCCCCAAAGTACTGGGATTACAGGTGTGAGCCACCTCGCCTGGCCTACCTTTTACTTTTTTAAGGAACTTCCAAAAGTTTGTTGTAGTGTGTATAGTAATTTTCATTACCACAAAGGGTGAAGGAGATTTTTTTTTTCTGCAAGTCTACGCTGACCATTGCCTTCAACAGTTTTGATTTTTGTTTTTTGTAATATTCATTCTGAGTGGAATTAGATGGTAACTGTGTATGGTTTTGATTCACATTTTTGTGAGGATCAGTGATATTGAGAAACTGTTAACTGTGAGTCAAATTTCCTGTCTTCTTTTCACACATCTCCGTTTAGATCTCCTTACCTGGATGTTTGTTGTTGTTGTTATTGTTTTTCACTTAGTCATGTCAGTTTATTTTATGTGTTAGATAACAACCTCTTTCAGGGGTAGGATTTTTAATAATTTTCTCCCAGTCTTTAGGATGCCTTTTTTTTGTTTCATTGTTTTCTTTTCCCTGTAGTGGTTGTAAAGTATTCCTAGTCTCATATGGTTATAGTCGCGTATGTT